ACCTTGGCTACCTTTGTGAAACAGATCTGAGATCAGTGCATGTGAGCCTCGGTCAGAAAAAGCTGGACTCTGGCTCAGCCTGTCATAGGAGGGCCTGTTAGGTAGCATGTTGTTTTTAGGATTAGTTAGCTTGTGGGCTTAGGTTAGCATCTTTCATACTCTGAAACAGCTACCAGGGTGCCTGTCAGTCACAGGGTCAGGGATCCCAGCAGCCCCGTGCTCATGAGTCAGTGACCACCATGCTGCCCACACATGTGTCCATCTGTGTGTGTCCACTCATGTCTGGTTTCTGTCTTCAGCTCCGGCCCAAACTTTACAAACGGCTGGTCATCACCAAAAAGGACGCTGGGCACAACTCAAATCCTTTTCCATTGTCTTTTATTCTTTGAATTTGATGATCAGATTTTCTGATTTAGGACTGGAATTAGGATTAGGTTGAAAACCTTTCAAAAGTAAATCGACCAACAGAAGTTGAATTAGTTCAAACAAACCTTTTTAAGTCAAACATTTTCACTGTGGCTCCACCATAAGCACAATAGAAACTGAATATTCCCAGGCCACAAACCGTCCTACAATATCTTCCAACTCAACTTCTGCCTTTTAATAAACAATATCTCAATAACTAACTTAATTTCCTCCTTACCAGTTGTGTATCTGGTGATCGGACCATGAGCTGAAACCTGATTGGCTGAGAGCTGGTCTCTTCCTCTGTCTGCCAAACTGCCACACAGGTGTGCACAGGTGTTTTAACCACAGGAAGTTCCAGCCCCCAACACAAGTTCACTCCTCTTTTTCCTACCTTTTCCTCTTTTTTGACGTTTTTGACATGTGCTAGAGAAGCACAACAAAAGAATAGATCATTTTCTTGAGCCTACTGGTTTACTGGTCAGATCAGGTTTGAAACATTTTTATCTCGGTTTAAGAGTGTGAAGCCCATAATAGAGGCTATTTTTTACCAGATCTGACAGAGAGGTGCCCCACCCCCTTCTGCTGCCTTTTTTTTGCTCTATGGAGGAAGAGCATGGTTTGATGGCACTTCCCTTGTGTTGAGTTTGAGTCTTTTCTCCCTTTTTTTTCTCCCTGATCGTAATTGATCACATGGTATGTGTGCTGTTTCTAACTTGCCTTTCTTTATTCCTTTAGGAAACAGCTTCTCGTGTGGCCACATTTCCCTCAGTTTTGCAGCTCTCCCACTCACATTCAAAACATTTTTTTTCACTTAATACTGTCTCCACAAAGTTCCTTCATCCCCTGTTCTTTTCTGTCTGTGCTGCACTCTGTGTCTGCTTCCACTTGGCTTATCTTGTGAATTATTCACTCTTACTGCTTTCAGCCACCTCTCTTATCACCCTGCTCCCACATTTCACCATCTCAGCCTGGAGTTTCAGCCACAGCAGCCTCATTCCTTCTACCAGAATGTTGTTTCCTGCCCTGCTTCCTTCTCCCCTTTATAGAATATAGAAGTAAAAATTGTGACAGCAAACACAGCCAGCATGATCCAGAGCCACAGTGTAAAACACTGATTTGTAGTTTGACATTTGACTGGGAAAACGTCCGCAAAAACAAACATGTCCGTCCTTTCATCATCATTTGGTTTAATCTGGCTGAAATCATTGGTCTGCTTCAGTCCATCGTCACTCATGCACACGGGGGACCATCCACTAAAGAAAGTCTGATGCTTCCACAGAAAAAAAGAAAGAAGATGATGGCCTTTTATTTTCAACTTGATTTTATGAAAACAGACATTTCCACTGTTAACCATGTCTCATGCCCCACAGCACAGGGAGATGTAGATAATAGCCTCAAAGACAGCAGCAGCAAGGTAACTCCAGCTTTCTGAATAATTCATGGGGCAACAGTCATCTCTGGAGCGCCGTACTGCAGCTATTTAGGGGTCCCCTCTCTCTGTCCAGCCTCAGTCCTCTCTCAGGCTCATCA